TGCTCAGCCACAAACTAAAAAAAAAAGCACGGTTGATCCCTCCGTCTTAAGAAATGGTATAACACGCAAGTAAGAAGTCTCCTTACAGAAGTAGTCAAGTACTTACTGTACATTAATATAGGAAAACTCGTACAATGTCTGTGGTGTATGAAAGCTACATTTAGGTACCGTTTAGCGTAAATGCAACCTCTTTGACGCTTAGTGACGCATCTCCACACCGATGAGTAACGTTCATAATTAATTATTGATTAATTATTAAACACGCCCTTGTAATCATGGATGCCTGCTTTAGCTCTAGCAGTTAACAGTGAGAGCAGAACCAAAGAAAATGACAGCCAGAAGAGCATGACTGATTGTACGCCAAGCTCATCTATTCGTGGCACGCTAGAGTCATTGAACGCCACAGGCCGGTTAGAGGGAAACGCAGTACGCGTTGTGTCTTCCCTTTTGGCCTCCCGCAATTTTTCGCGGGCCGAGCGTGAAAGAGGAACACGTAGTTGCATCCAAGCGAAACAAGCGCGTTACTTTATGCATCGCAGAATCATTGTAATAATAGTAATTGTTGAGGTTTAACGTCCTAAAACCACCATACGACTACGAAGACGCCGTACTGGAGGACTTCGGACATTTCGACCACCTGGGTTTCTTTAAAGGGCCACTCACCAGGCCCCATACTGAATTTTAGTTAGACCGTGGAAGTTGTTGGGTGTCCTGTGAGGAACATTTTGCCAAAACTTTTTTTTTTAATCGGTTCATTACGAGCTCAAAAATATATTTCCGGCGCGAAACGAGGATGAGAGGTGAGCTGGAAACCCTTGCCGCTCCTTCGCGTAACCTTCGCAAGCCAAATCTCTTCCCCACTCTCTCCGGCATCCGACCAAGAGGTCACATGCATGACGCGCCCGAACAAGCCCAACCCCCGTGCACGCGATCGGCGTTTCCTTCTTTGTTGTTGTTGACCTGCGTTGCTTTGAGGTCTACTGCCTATTTCTGCAGGGTGTTTTGGAAACGCTGGCTTAGACGCGGTAGAATAGATGAGCGCAATGAGTGCGCGAACGCGTAGAAGCGTTCCACGGCCGTCGTCTGCTCAATGCGCTAACCACGGAACCGCGGAGACACGAACGCATGCGAAACGCCGGCACATTAGCCGCGCATCTCGTTGCAATTCACGGGGAGAGAAAAAAAAAAAAGAACGTTCACATTTCCATATTGCATCTCATTATTTATCTAGATATTTATTAATCTCCTCAAGCAACAAATACTTAAACTACGCATGTCGTGTTAAATAATTTTCGCCATGTCGCGTGCTACTGTTGGCAACGTCAGAGCATCGTCTACGTAGAGAACCAACGTCACGGCATCGCCTTGTACGTAGGGCCATTGATACGCGCACGTCATGCCCTCATCCTCTTGGCGCGCACCGGCAGAAGGGAGAGCAGCATTCATCTTGAAATTTGACCCATTTCCGCGGCGTGTATCCTTGCATATTTTGGCAGACGTGATCATGAACACCTCATCTGCGCATTGTGCTTGTCAGTTCAAAGTTGTCAAACCTAGTGAGTGGCCCTTTAAAATTCACCAAAATTTAAGCACACGAGCCTTAAGCATTATCAGCTCTATCGAAAATGCGGCCGCCGCGGCCGGCATTCGATCCCGCGACCTGCGGGTCAGCAGCCGAGTACCTTATCCACTAGATCACCGTGGCGGATGCAGAACCATTGTTGGTATAGATGGAAGCTATGAGCCACGTCGACTATTTGGGAAAGGTCGCCACCCGGAAGTGTGTTAAGGCATTGACGAAATAGCACTTGTATTGGAAAACTACCGGACAGAACAGACGCGTAGAAACGACGCGTTGAGGAACTAATCGAGTATTCCACAGCCATTATGCACTATTACACTTTACCAAGAGTACCGGGAAAGTCATACTGTAGTTTTTTAGCGCACGAAAAAACGCACGGACGAATGAAGACGGGACAGGGGCTATCCCGTCTTTATCTGTCCGTTTGTTTTTTCATGCGCTAGAAAACTACAGCATGACGTATCAACCCGCCCAAAACACTACGCTACTTGGAAAGGACAGTGGTGTATATATATATATATATAAAAAAAGCGTCGTTTTAAAACCTATAATGCATTCAACTGTAGTGCAGTTGAAAGGGTGCCCGATAGTTGTCGCTAGAGGTCGTCGGTTCGACTACCGCTGATAAAACTTTCTCTTTGTCTTCAATTTTTTTACTTCCGAAACGAAGGTACGCCATTGAAAATTTTGTGGACCCGGCATAAAGTACTTTTCTGTTAATAAGCAGCCAAAGTATGATGTCACGGGGTCATGACGCGGACGAAGGAAGCAGACCCATTAAATTGTTTATTCGGCCGAACTTTTGGCCCCATAAAACACACATTACAGCAATACACTGGCACTGATAGCGGCGAACAGAGCGTCAGCCGTCGATCAAGTGACAAGCAGTGAAGCGCGTCGGTATCGAGCCATCGAATATTCTATCGTTACAGCTTGCGGCCACGTATGTTCAAGAATAATAAGTAATGTTCGCAAAGTGGGCGTAATCTTAACAAAATGGCCTACTATAGTCTCGAAGCTTCTCGGACACCGCAGGCGCGGTTCGCACTGAGAATTACCGAGGGTGAAACGGGGCGATAACAAAACTTACGGAGGGAATGCCCCTCTGAAAAAGGCATCCACCCGATGCTTTCACAAAAACGAAAGTAGAATAATAAAGTAAGAAAATTAACAATAAGTACAAACAATATAGCACAACAGCAAAATACAGTCCTAACTTAAGGTTCACGAATGAAATGGCTTGCGGCGCACGACATGGACGACTTCAAGTCACCCACGGCACCGTTGAGAGTTGGTAATGCCGTCAGGAACAACATCGTGGTCGAGTGTACCGAGGCATCGAACGGTCCGAAGTAGCGTCGCAGAAAAATTTCACAGAGTACGCGTCGGCGTATCGGCGTCCACACCGAAACATTCACCAGGCTGGTATTCCACGAAACTTCCAAGATTGTAACGACGGCGGTCGGTCGCCTGCTGTTTGTTGATGCGCAGGCGGGTAAGTTGACGTGCTTTTTCAGCGCGCTGACGGTAGACGGTGACGTCGAGGTTCTCTTAGTCAGCGACGTTTGGAAGCATATAGCGTCGAGCATTGTTGTCAGGCTTCTGCCATAGACCAACTTGTACGGCGGCATCTGCGTCGTTTCTTGGACGGCCATATTTTACGCGAAGGTCATGTACCGAAAGATTTCATCCCACGGCTTGTGCTCGACGTCGACGTACGTACATGGCCAGCATACCGGCAATAGTCCTATTAAGACGCTAGGTGAGGCCATAGGTCTGTGGACCTAGGCGCTGGTCCGGCGATTTGTCTGGCCTCAAGATTGCCTTAGTTAGGTCCACCATAAATGTCATACCTCTGTCAGTAATGAGGACCTGTGGAGCTCCGTGACACAGAAGATGTTCTCGACGACGAACTTTCCTACCTCGTCGGCAATGTGCTTGGGCAGGGCCCTTGTCTCGGCGTAGCACGTGAGGCAGTCGGTAGCTGCGACGATCCATTTGTAGCTCTCTAGGAAGGCCAACTAAGGTTGCAGTGACGTCACAGCAGATCTGTAGTGAGCGTAGTCGTGCGCAGGTTTCCTTTCCAGGGGGGAGCAAAGGTACATTGCTGACTTTGCACACCCCCCCCTCCATATCTAAGTCGCGGCGCCCCTTTCTGTCAATGTGTGGGACTGTGTTTGAACAACCCCCTCTTAGGTGACTATGGGAGTGCCCGCCCCCTTAACCCCATCTCGTACGCACGCCTATTGTAGGTGCACGTCAAAGAACTATAGGTCATCAAAATTTCCGAAGCCCTCCACTACGGCGGCTCTCATAACCATAGCGTGGTTTTGGGACATTAAACGCCATCAATTATTATTAATATTTAGGCAGCGATGAAGTCATCCAACACACGTTAGACTACCAGATGAGAGAAGCATACACCTTTCAGTCAACGAATTTCCCGTAGAGAATGAAATAAAACACAAACGGCGGCGGCGCACAGGACTGCGTGTACTTTCGAATGCTATCAATGATGCGGCAACACCCGTGCCACCTAAAGGGACACTAAAGTGAAACAGTGAATCACATCGTATATGAATTTCACTCTGAGAATGTCCCCAATTTCACCATCACACGTTTACTGATGCCGGGGAAAATCGAGATTCTATTTCTTAAGTTTCTCGCAGAAATAACAGCACGTTACGCCAGCAATTTCGAAGTCTGATTTATATATTTTTTTATTTTATATCTGCGACGCTCGCAGATATTATTCTGCAGCAAGTTTTTTTTTTTTTTTGCTTAACCTACGGGGCCAATTATTCAGTCAACGGTTTGAGCGCTGTATTCACCCCACGTCGCAAATTACGTCACACTGTTGTCAAGTGCGAGGGCGCCTGTTTCATGCCACTCATGAATGAGCTGATTTGGCACCAAACCCAAGAACGCGAATAAGTCAATCGGGCCATATAGGGACAACCTAGAAAAAAAAAACACGTAAGGAGGGAAAATGCCCTGAAACAGCAGCCTTTCAAACTTCCTGTCCACCACACGATAATGCGAGGTAGACTCACTGCGGTGGTCTACGGTGCTCAACTGACCTGCAGGTCGCGGGACCGAATACCGGCCGCATTTTCGATGAGGTCCAAATTTTCGGAGCCCTCCACTAAGGCGCCCCTCATAATCATATCGTGGTTTTGAGAAGCACAACAATTGTTATTCAAGCGAGCAAGCGACGGCCCATAGGATTCATCACCATGCAGCTGCGCGATTCCAAGTGTATTGACCGCCACCGTTATAGAAGGTATAGTGAGAGTAGCTGCTGTAGCTCGGAGACTGAAGGATGCACCGAGTGGCTCTTGCAGTCAATACGCAGCAAAGCAAGCTTTTCTTGTGGCGTACAAAACGCTGCGGATCGAGTCGAATAACAACTCCTCACCTGGTCAGCTAAGCAGGCATGAACGACGACCCCAGTCCTGTAGTACACGTGCATGGCAACCAGCAGATCCTGTGGGTGCGCACTCCCGGTGGGAACGCTATCATCGGCGGCCGCTATCGGCCATTGTCTGCCTTCCGTGGAGGACACGTGGCCAGACAAAACACGGCCTCTTTTGGCAGCCTTATCAGAAAAAAGGGTCCGCCCCGCTCCACTTGAAATCGGCCCACAGGTGGCGGAGGAGCCGCCGTCCCCAAGCAGCAGCGATTAAACGCGTTGATGCACGGGAAGCGCAATCCGTCAGCGAATGGCGCCACAAAACAGGTCGGAACGCCAAACGCGGGCGTCCACTCGCCTGCCAAGCACGCTGGTTGAACAGCACATCCCGTGCGCAGCCGCACACCCTGCGTGAAGCAGCTCGTATGCATAGCGGTGTCCCAAAACTGCCACCCAGATAGGCTCGGATCACGCGCGTCGGAGCATGCGTGCGGATCCTTTCTTCCGATTGATGCCACTTCGACGTCACAATCTTGACAGGACAGCAAAAAGGCTCAACAACTTGGGGGACTAGAATATGCCGCGTTCAAAGAAATGAATCGAATGCGGGTGAAGAAAGAAGTTGGAAGGTGTATTATGAAGCACGAACAGCGCCAATTCCACACGGAGACAAATGAGGGAACGCTTGTGTGAGTCTCCTCTTGTGTCCCCGTGTTGAATTCGCGCTGTTTTCACTTCATAATGCGAAACCAGCTAGCCCAAAGCTTCACTTTATTAAGTAAGGTTAGCCAGATCAACAGTGGGGATATGTCTACAGCTCAAGCGGTAACTGAAACGTAGGGCCGATGAAGGAAAACTAATGAACACCAAAACACGGGCGCAGAAGAAATCAGACTCCTGTTACACTGACTAAAAACATGCAAATGACGGAAAATGTCACTCGGCTTACGGCGAGCGTTGATCAAATACAAAGCACACTCAACGATCCCAATGAAGAACTTTGATGATCTGGAGAACGAATCAAGACGTTCGAAGTTATGACCACAGGGGCAGTAATTCCCAACGGTACGCATTTTCTGGGAGCTAATTTCTTGTCCCAAGCGTAACAAAAAACGTCACGCGAGCCTCGTGACCTTGAACACTTTTTCTTATTTTTTCTTCGAATACGCGGCTTTCTCAGTGCGATCGCGCGCACACGCGTGGACAAGTGACGGCCTCTCGCGGCGATTTCAGTAACAACTGAGCGCGCCATGTTCAAATCAGCCAATCGTTGATAGATGGGTAATCTACGCGTGATTTTTTTTTTTTTTTTGAAGTGTTCCGTCATTATTCGAGGGAAGAGAAAGCAATTTTTGGCTGACTTTGATGATTTATTGTTAATTCCGGGCCGCGTGCTGCGCTATAACATTTGTCTCGCGTGTTCTCGGGAGCCTCTACTACCGATCAGCAGTGTTTTCTGGCCATAGGTACTCAATTCCAGTCTGCTTCGGTTGATCTGTCTCTAGCTCACTGATGTGTTTGTCTGAGGAAGGGCTTGCCCTGTTGAGTACTCGGTTCCTTTTCAGGATGCTGTCTTCCATCTGAACGTCATACGATCTGTCATAAATTCTCCTAATTATTGTCTTTGACCCATGCTCCTGTTTTCGTTGGTTGAACTGGGACATCCACTGACCCTTTCTAAGGCTTGGTGAATCCTTCGTTTGCCTGTGATGGCAGCTGGTGCTTTTCCGCCTCTTCTACATTCTTATTTCACTCCCATCGACTGTTTCGGATTGCAGTAACTGTGAAGCTGTTGGTACACTCGTTTTAGTGTGGAAACTCATTGACACTTGTGCTAGAGTACCATTCTTCTCTTGAAGTGATGTGTTCTGTTAATAAACAAATGTTATTTGTGGGTCTGAGTTGCTTCCGTGTGCTTTTTTTAGGGAGCATTTTTTCTCTCATTACGGCTGATTCAGACCTTCCATTTGCACGCGGGTAAACCGAGCTTCACGTTTTTTGTTCGAAGTTCCAGCTCTTCGTGGCCTTTTTGAATTCTTTGCAGGTGAATGGCAGATCATTGTCGCTTATCAGAATTCTCGGTACCCAGTAACTGCAAAGTGAGCCCTTAGTTTAGTATCACTTAAACCAAACATTCTTTCCCTAGAGTTTGAGATGGCCCACGTTGTGCCGATCCACAAAGGTGGACCCAAAAAGGAAGCTGTCAACTATAGACCAATTTCATTTACATCAATTGCCTGCAAAGTACTTGAGCACATCTTGTACAAAAAAATAATGCGACATATAACGCACCACAAATTGTTAATAGAAAATCAGCATGGATTCCGTAAAGGACTATCTTGTACCACGCAGCTGGTTGAATTTTATCATGATTTATCCTCTAGTATTGACGAAAATGGGCAAATTGACTGTATTTTTCTTGATTTCCAAAAAGCTTTTGATTCGGTTTCGCATGCGCTCCTTTTGCAAAAACTTAAGTTATTTAACTTAGACCTAAATGTGATAATCTGGATAGAAAATTATTTAAAGCATCATCGCCAATGTGTTGTTTTGAATGGAAAAGCATCCAGTTATGTTGACGTGACATCAGGTGTGCCACAGGGCTCCGTTTTGGGTCCTTTGTTGTTTTTAATTTATATCAATGATATTTCGGTTGGTATCTCATTGTCTATCCGGCTTTTTGCCGATGACTGTATAGTCTACCGGAAAATTAAGAGTGAGCAGGATTCCTCCCAACTTCAAAATGACTTGGTGCGTATTCATGACTGGTGTACAACGTGGAAAATGTTTTTAAATTTTAATAAGTGCATTAACCTTTGTTTTTCAAAGAAGACAAAGAAGATCGAATTTAGATATTGTATAAATGGTGCACCAGTTACCACTAAGACAACTTACAAATACCTGGGTGTGTTCTTTTCTTCTGACTGTTCATGGAATGTACATGTTGATTATGTTGTCGCAAAAGCTGCGAAAATGTTAAATTTTATTCAGCGTAACTTACGATGTTCCCATCAGCGACTTAAAGAATGTGCATATTTGACGTGTGTACGACCAGTCTTAGAGTACGCCTGCGCTGTGTGGGATCCGGCGCAGGTATACCTTAGTGATAAGATAGAAAAAATACAGAACAGGGCGGCAAGGCTCGTCCTGGGACGGTATCAATGGCGGGAAAGCTCTACCGCTATGAAACAAGAATTGAATTGGGAGCTGCTTTCATCGCGTAGAAGAAAATTGCAATTAAAACTTTTATATCTAATATTTAATAATAAAACTGGAATCAATAAGGATATGTATTTACAGACGCCGTATTATTTGTCAAATCGAATTGATCATCCTTTTACACTCAGGGAATATTGTCCCAGGACTGGAATTTTTGCAAATTCTTTTTTTGTCAGAACAATACATGAGTGGAATGGGCTCACAAGTGTACAAGTGTCTGCTGTAAATGAAAATTTGTTTTTTTCGAATCTGTAGCCCCCTTGCTATAACGCCTTCGGGCGCTGCAGGTATACTTCGGATAAAGAATAAAGAAAATGTCGCATCAAACCCGTTCCAATGGATAGGTTGGTTCTGTATGGAGTGAAAGAGTTTCTGTTTGCTGGGCTTGTGCGTACCTTTAGCACATTCTACACCTCATGATCAAGTGTTCTAATTCTGTGTTCATTTCTGGCCAGAAGACACACTCACAAGCACATTGAAGACAGCTCTCAATTCCAAAATGCATTGTCTGGAGTTTCACTTTGCTTTCACCTCACAGAAACATTAGAATAATTAGGCGTATTTTTTTGAAAATCAGACGATTCTCAACAGGCCTCAATTCTTGGAAATGACTTTTTCAGAAAGCCTTATTTCTGTGTGTTAAGTATAAGTGCATGCCTTTGGGTAGTTCATGTTTGTATTGTGGCTAGCCTGAACGAAAGATTCACTTTAGTCTTTGCAGTAACTCATCACACTCAGTCACAGATTTCATCATTTTCAAGGTTTTCTTTCTCACAGGGATGTATTGCACAACATAAATGTTCTAAAGTTCCTCTCTATTGCTTTCGTTGGGAATGAAAGCCCAAGATATCATGTCAGCCAAGACTAACTCCTTTCCTGGTCTGTTCTCTATTGCAATGTTGTGTCTTTGCATCAGAAGGATCATGCTTTGCAGTCATCTTCGAACTTGATCCAATGGTTTCTTCAGGATTGCTTGCTTAAATGGCTTACAATTGCTCAACATCTTTGTTTCTTTTCTGAATGTATACTGATAAAACTTTTCTAAGACAAAGACAGTGGCCAGAGTATCCTTTTCTCTTTGTGCATAACAAAGTTCCATTGTTGTCTGTGCTCTGCTGACGAAAAAGACTAGCTGTCCAATTTAAAGAAGAGCTGCTTCGAATCCAAAATTGCTCACATCACATTGGATTTCTAGCTGCTTTCATTATTCAAAGGAAGGCTACAAATGGAGCTCTTCTCACGAACTCATGCGTTTTTGAATGCTTCCTCCTGCTGCTTCCCCGTCTGCTATGGTGAAGCAGCCATGGGAGTTTCTTATTGGGAAGGGGGCACAGACAAGTGAGTTTCGTCAGGGGGGCACAGAGGCGGGGAAGTTATGCATTGTGTTTGGCATAGGTTTTCTTTTAGGGGGGCTTCAGTGCAAACAACCCACCCTCCCCCAGCGCCGCTTTTGCACAAGTTTATAGTTTACAGTTGTGAGGCCCATTTTATTAGCTCTTGTTCTTCCAATCAGAAAAGCGAGGTCTCCTCTAAAGACTATAATTTCACTGTTCGTTTGCTGTGGTGACATCTAGTTGAGTTTTGCCCCAGTATTGCACTTCACTTCTGTACCAACTTCGCAGTGTCATTGCATATGGTTCTAGTTGTTGTGCGTTGACGCGTCTAGCTGAGATGACGTCAACAGTTGCTCTGCTGTACACTTCAAGTTTTACCAGCTTCCCATTCACTGTAAGGAACGTGTGGTTTGAGCTTGGTTGGCCGCTTTCAACTGCCAAGATGGCTTTGTCCTCACTATCTACCGCCAGGTGTATCTACTTAGCCACTTTTACAAACTGCCGTGAAGCACTTTTGTTCGTTTTACTTGCTGCATACCCTCTTTAAGTGTGTCCATTTGAGCTGCAGT